TGCAATGAACTGGTTCATTCTAAAGTGGTCATGATGCAGCCTTTTTGCCAGGACAGTGCCTCTCATATATTCAAAGAGTGAAGGAAGAAAGTCTGTAAAATTATCTGCCTTTTATTGCCTTCCAGTTGTCTAATTTGTTTTCATTCCTGTATTAATTAGAGTTAATGTATTTACATTTAGCTTCCGGTAGAGTGAAGTTGTATTAACTAATTAACTGTGAGGCTGATGAGAAAACAGGAGCATCAACTGGTGGCGGCTGCTAGGAGTGAGAAATAGCAATCCGAGAAGCCAGCTGGTGGAAAGATGAGAGAATTTGACACAGAAGCCATTTATTGATTATTACAGGATCTGTTAGCTACTCGGGTTGCACTTCCTGTGTTAAAATATGTACATTTTTTTGATTTAGCGATTGCTTGTCACATCAGTAACTGTAAATAGCCATTATTCTTACGCTTGGGAAGTATCACTGTGTCTTAGTAAAACTGGGGTTTAAGAGAATGAGGAGTAAGGATGGTGTACATGTTAGGCGTAAACCTTTTAATCAAATAAAAGTCTCCACAAAACAGTCTTTTTATTGTATGTCTTTTTGATTGAACAAGCTACATATGTACGTTAAAATAGACTTAAGTACACAAGTTGAAATACATAATTTGGCTTTAATATATGTGTGTGTGATTTCCCACACACATTTTTTGGCAGAAAATGTATTGGGCATTTTTGGTAGTTTTTGGCAGAATCTATCTTTATTCCCCCCAGGTTATTCTCGAGAGTGGAATTCTGTGTCGGTAATAACCTGGCTAAAAACATAGTGTAACTCTGCCCGTGATTGCCACGGAACAACCCCCAAATGTAAATTTAATAGTAATCTGAATAAAAATCAAGTCTGAAACATTAATTTCCTTTGCCTTGTAATGCTCAACACATCACCACGTCAAGGATGGGACTTAAAAATACGTCTCATTCTCTCTTTCTCATTTCAGTTGGACGCATTGTCTTCGAATTATTTGCTGACGTTGTACCTAAAACTGCTGAAAATTTCCGTGCATTATGTACAGGAGAGAAAGGAACGGGGCCTACCACTGGAAAACCTCTCCATTATAAAGGATGTCCTTTCCACAGAAGTAAGTTCTATGAAATCCTCTGTTTTCCTGTTGCTGACAGAAGTCCTCCATTATTAGTATTTGAAATCATATTAAATAATATCTTGGAGCACTTGTTTAAGAAATAACTTGACTGAAAGTAAGTTTTTTACTTTCTTATCCTCCCAACAACTAGATGTTTTTACCATGCATTGACAATACTAAATTATGAATTTACTAGTAAGTTAGTAAAAGTAGTTTACTATGAGTTGTGAATAGGTTGAAATGGATTTGAGGTAGAGAATTAAATATCAGGTGATGTCCACTTAACTGAAAAGGAGTACTTAGGAGAGACTTTATAAATAAAAGGTGGTTTTGGGTTTTATTTAGGCACAGGTGCTGGTGACAGGGATTGCTCTTCATTTCTGAATTGTTTTTCTTCGTGCCTTTCCTGCCTTACTGCTGTATTTTCTATTTATTTTATTTTACAGTTATTAAGCAATTTATGGTCCAGGGTGGAGATTTCTCAAACCAAAATGGCACAGGCGGAGAAAGTATATATGGTGAAAAATTTGAAGATGAAAACTTTCATTATAAGGTACTCTATTGAAAATACTAATTGTATGCAGTTTTTGAAGTTTCAGTGATTTTTATTTTTCAATTTCAGAATTAGTGCTCTTTAGTCCAAGGTTAACATATTTTTAAGCAGTGGAAAGAATGCAGCAAAAAAGCTCCAAACTAGTTTGTCCTTAAAGTCTTTGCTGAATACAGAACAAATACATGTATGAATACATACAAAATGAGGTCAACTTCATCAAGACAAAGACAACCATAGTTTAAATTTTCTTTTTAATTGCACCAGCAGAAACTGAATTGAAACAATAGTTTAGTTCTCATTGAAGTAGGGATATTATTTGG